TATATATATATATATAATTTCTGTAGTAACTTCTCCTGGCACTCCTTAAAGCCTGGTTCACTTTTTAGCTATTTACACATTTCCAGTATTAGCCTTAGGCTTGGAATTTGATTTTTTGGTTTTACTCCGGCTAATTTAAAAAAATTTAAATAACGGTAACAATACTGTAAATTGTGATGCACCCAACTTGGTTACTTTTGTACAACATCATGTGATATTGCAATAGAACTCTATCCAGAAAGGTGAAAGCTAATTACTCAGCATAACTAACATTTTATTTTCCCTCCTAAAAAGTTATTAGCCATTCTGTTTCCAGAAAATAAACCAATTTCTCTAAGGTGTACAGTCATATCCATTACAACTTCAGTTAGTTAAAACCCAGGCAATCTAAGCATGGTGTTTTTAGATTTACAAGTGTTTACAGGCTATGTACAATTCCTGCTCCTTTTGTAAATACCTAATTATACAGACTGTTCGACTATAACCTCAGTTCCTCACGGCTTCGAAGAACAGACTATGGTGCCTTCAGACAGATGGAGAGAGGAAGTATGGAAAGAACTGGATGGATGGGTTTGTGGACTTTACATCTCCATGTCTCCAGTTACTGACAAAATAACCTTTACTTCTACCTTCCAGTGGCAGTCTACACATCTCTTTCTAACCATTTGGTGACTTCGCAAAAAATCATTGGTACTTGGGAGTTAGATTTTGGAGCTTTTCATAGGAAAATTGCCATGCTACATTCCTCTGCTGACCACACTATCTCCCAGATGCCTCATCAGTAACTCTGTAGCTCAAAAAGGTGCAAGGAGAATGACAGCTCTTCTGCAAGTGCCAGGGATGAAGACTATTTTGGTGAATGAAGAACATACTCAGTTTCTCACACTTCTGACTTAACATGGTCCCCTCAGTGTTCTTTGTTTAAAGACAGCTGTCCTCTTGCATTTACTGTTAAGTAGTTCAAGCAGTCTTGGAAAATGTTTGATAAGACTTGTTTGGTGCCTAAGCAAGGACAGAGGTACTTCCAAGTTCTAGAATGATTCTGTCAGCTTAGAGCTGTCAGCCATAATAAGGAAATAGGTGAGTAAATATTATGGTTTAAATTAAATTAATTTAGTGTTTCAGCCTGGGGAAGAAACCTGGAATCAATTTGTAGAGGGGGGAATAAAAAGCCTGAGAAAGAGAAAGGAAGGAGATGATGTATCATAAATGGCAAGAGTTTCACTCAGAATCATGTCAGAAGTAATTGGAAGATAATTACTGCCTTCTTGGGCAGGTGAGAGAGGGTGCAAGATACTGAGGGTTTACAAGTTACTCTTCCTAATGGGTAAATGATCTAACTTCAGGTCCTGTGGGGGTACTTGAACTCTAACATGGGAAAACATCTAAAATTCACATGAATCGTGTCTCTAGTCACCATACATCTCAGAAAGGTTAGTCCTCCCAGGATGACCCCTGCATTACATAACTGGGGCTGAATATGCCTGCATGGTCCCTTCCTCGGAAGGCTGAACCCTTCCAATACAGCCCTGCTCTAAGAGCAGTCTGGTACAGGGTATGATGTAAGGCCATGCCACTAGAAGTCCCAAACTAGTCCCAAACACAATCAGACCTGTGCTATAGAGCATGCTTACTCAGCTAGGCCAGAAATTTTCACATGTGGTGAGTGCTGCTGGTGATCAGTGAACTGGAGAAAAGCTAACAAGTAGGCTTTTTCCTAAAATCCCATATTTGGTACTTTTGTGTGTAAATACAATTGATTAACTGTAGCAGCAATTACAATTAAAGAAGATACTGAGCAATAAGTATGTAAATCAGTACAGGGAACTTCACATTTCCTCTACTGGCAGAAGAGATTATGTCAAATAAAACTGAACTCAAGACAACTTGTTTTATTAACAAAGATTTCCACATGAGTATCAGTGCAGTATCTGAAAAGTCCTGTACTACTGCAACTGTGCCACCCCACACAATCATAAGGTTACAGCCATACTACTGAACTAGGCAGGTCTTGGACTTCCTCTGACATCAGTTCTACTCGGAATGGAATAACTCACATCCCAATTATTAAGCTCTTCTCTAAAACAGGATGCTCATAATCAGACTCCTAAGCAGGAATACTTAACTGGCCTGAGTTAATACCTTGAACCTTGTCAAGAATTATCTGGGAGACAGCTAGCTGGCCCAAAGCAACACCCCAGTAGGGACCACTAATGCGCTCAAGTGCCAGTGGACATTATCGGGTATTGCATTTGTTGCTAGCAGAAAGGTAGTCTAAGGCCAGTCTGTGTGGGATGACTTGGTCAAGGGAATTATTAAAAATGGTCAATGGGTTCTCTAGACTGTCAAGCAGGCTAAGATAAATTCCACTTCTCTGAAAAACATCTAGAGAAATGGGAGGACAAGCTGCTCTACATGATTCCAAGCATTCAATTACCAGCAGCAGCCTGCAGGACACGGTACCAGACATCACTAAAGTTAGTGGGATTTAATTTTGATTTTCTTTAATTCAAATAATTTTGTTCAATACATTGCTGAAGATACTGAAATTAAATTATTTCACTAAAAATTAGTAAATTATTAAACTGTTTCTGTTCTGCATTTACAATGCTTTGTAAAGTGCTCTCATAGTTCTGAGACAAAAAGAAATACAAGTTGTATCTTTATGAATCTTTTGGAGGCACCAATGAGAGCTTTCTTATATAGGTATTTTTCCAGTATGAGGTGAAATTAGATGCCTGGTACATATCACTTTCAGATCATTATGCCTTGTAACCTAGCCTACTCTGAACTCTGATATTTGAAAGCATTAATAAAAAAAGATTCCAAATTAAGAAGTTCATGCATGTTAGCACTGTCTTTGTTGACAGTCCTGAAAGGAGATGACTGATTTGAAAAGCTCTATGACTTTTCATCTGCATTGAGTCAAAATCTGGATCATTAACACTAGCTTCTAATGCCAAATAAGAGACAAAATAGACTAAAACAGAATTAATTCTGCTGCATTGCTTCATAGATCAAACCAAAATAAAATTAAAATTAGATAATAGCTTAAAACTTCTCTTTGGTAAAACTGTAATTAAAAGATGGTCTTGTGAACATTTCTGATAGTTATATTTACATTAGAGCAAACACATGGTGGTCCTACATGTTATTTAAGCAGAAGAGCAACATGCAGAGAAAGAAAAGAGTGCATCTAACTCACTGAAGGCTTCCCAAGCTACTGTGGACTTGGAGGGCATTCAGAGAGATCCCTTCAACACAGGAAGAGCAGAGAGGGAGACAGCCAAGCAGCACCACAAAGATCATGATACCTCCAATCCCAAGCACCCTGGAAGGATGCTTTTGCCTCCCTTGACCTCAAAAGATGGCTTTAACATTTGTTTTATAAAACTAACAATATTAAATAAACAAACCTATTGCAAGACAAAAAATAAACCACCTAAAACAACAACGGAAAAGCCCTAACCCCAAATGTCCTCAAGTCTTTACCTGAAATCCCAACCCACAGAAGTGAGCAGGAAGATGAAAAGAAGGGTAAAACCCCCCTCCTATTTGGTATCATATTGTAGATGATTTTTTGAGGTTTTTCATATTTCTGCAGCTGTCTAGCTTGTTGAAACAGATCTTGAGACAAAGAAAATTAGCACTGATTTTATTAAGGCTTCTTATATTTCCCAAGTTCTGCTCCCCTCTGTGCCATTCACACAAATTATACACTGGCACAGTATGACAGCTGTCAAGTCTGATTTGAAGGATCTCTACTGCTCACTTTTGACCTTACTGTTGTCCATGTAAATTTATATTGACCCAACTTGTTTTTTTATTAGCAGGAATTTTGCATTAATTATATATTTAATTTATTTTTCACTTCTCAGACAATACAATTGTTTGAAATGTGTTGTTAGTGAAACACAGAACATTCAGTGATCAGACCAGGAAGAAAGAGGTCACCTGCACTGCTCATGCACACAAACAGGGACACTTCCAAGCTAGACCAGAATAAAGCACCTTCAAGCCTGGGAGTCCACTAGCTGAAAGAAAGAGCAACTTCCTAGTACGCAGAAGGAGCTTATGACCTCCAAGTTAGTATATTATTTTACTTAAAGCTAGCTTAGATATTTAGAAAAGTGAAGCCTTAAGAATTGCATACAAGTAATAAATTGCTCATGGAAAACGGACAAAGTCTGAAGTGACTCTTTGTCCATAATTATTTAAAACTTCTAACATTCTAAAAAAGATTGGCATTAGAATATTTAAGAAGAGCTACCACACCCTGATAATAATTAGTATATTACCTGATGGTATTTCTTCAGTATGTTGTGCATTTCTGCTACATCTTCACTTGTTATAGTTTTGATGATATATCTTTTGTCGTAAGACGTATGAAAGCGGGCACCACTGCGTGCTTGGGAATCATTGGCAAGGGGTGCGCTTCTTGTCAATGAGTTCTGTCAAGTGATTTAAACCAAAAGAAAATAAGCATCAAGTCAGACAAAAATATGCAACTTAATTAGAACAAGTATAAACCATTTACACTTATTTTAAAATCTTTTCCAATATATCTGCACTGAGGTGAATTCTGCAAGGCATGGAATCACAGGGAGCATTATCTTGACAAATCACTTCAAAAATATCCTGAGAACAAAAGAATATTTGGGGAAGGTATTGCCCATCAGTGCTTCAGAAGTCATTCTCAATGCTGAATAAGAATTTTTTGTACTTTGTGATGGCTACATTACCAGCTGGGAAGAAACCATACACTTAAAAAAAACAAAAGGAACGCCACAATAACTATAGAGGATTTCAGCCATAGCAAGAGTATCACTCTAAAACTGAGGAGAATTTGCTCTTGAGCCAGTGCAATCTGGTACATAAACAAGATAACAGCTATATTTCTGTGTTCCAGAACCAGAGCTATCCCAATGATTTCATATCTAGCATTAAGCAAGAAGTATTAGTGTACAGTACCTCCTTTGGTAAATCTACCTTCCTACAGATTTAAGAGGGGAAGATTAGTCAATGACTGTAGGGTAATTTGAAGAAAAACTACTACAAATTAGTGACCATTTTTGGACTGAAGCTTGAGATCACTTAGAAAGAAATAGCAGCTGTTATAATAAGAATTAATCAACTAGTACTCCTTTTAACACGCTTTAATTACAATTCAGGCTAGACAGAAAAAAATACAGAAACTAGTCAGATTCAAACAAATTAATAAATTTAGTCATATGTTAAATCAACTGGAGGAAACCTTGTAAAGTCACTAACTTTTTACTGATTCTTATTTTTTCCAGCAATAGCTTTTTTTCTAATGGAAATGAATTCTGCCTGACTGCTAACTATGATGACAAGTTAATTTGCAAATACAACTATCGTATCGAAAATTTTGCTAAGAAGAGAATGTAATACATCTGTAAATAACTATTTAGCACATATTTTATTGTTTTTTTAGTGCTTTAATGGGTTAGGAATGGTGATGCATTTATTTTTTAGTAGATGGCTATTTTATTATGAGTTATCTATGCCAAGCTTAATTAAGAATGATACAGCTATCATTTTACCACATGCATATTAATTTGTTAGAATATACCAACTAACTTTTGCTAAGCAGCACCTTTCCATGCATGCACAGGTAACCCAAATGCCCTCTCTACAACACCCTGAATCTAGTAATAAATTAAGAGTTTAAGATCAGATGTTTAAACATTAAATATGTTTAAGATAAAAACAACCTCTAACTAAACAACCTCTTTGAGACTTCATTTTTACTAACTCTCCAAATCCTGTTATAACTCTTTCAATATACTTCCCTCTTCAGATACAGAATGTAGTTCCTTACAACTCTGAAAGAAGATGGACATTATTATTTACTGCGTTTTCTTTTAATATTTGCATATGTTTATTAAATAAGCATGGTTTAAAAAGCTGGAAAAAAGTACAGCATATTGTGCTGATTACTAGTAATTGCATTACTGCTTTCTTGTGCTGATAAATGCATGGCCAAGTTTTGTCTGTGGACAGTTTGATTTGTAATGGTTACCTCTCACTTCTGTGAGCAGAGAAAAGTTAAAATTCCTTCTAAAGTAAAGCTTCCAGGTACCATGCAAAATACCATACCTCTCAACTAGACTAGTTATACTTATTTATAGTTAGAAATCAATCTTCAGAAAATACATATACTGTTGCCTGATCACGACAACAATGCATCTTTAGATAAAGAGATGAAAAGAATCGGCTTGCACTGCTAAGTCATCAGTAGCAAGTAAGATCATGGAACAGCTTCACTGAAAGGATCAAACTAGAATAATTTAGGGGCTTCAAAGAGGAAACAATATAGCTATTTAAAACCTTTAAGATCCCTTTTGATGTAGGTGAAACTAACTTAGCTGTTTGATCCAGACTGCTAAGTGGAAATCAAAGCATCTTCTGCTCCATCTAACTCTGTCAAATACTAACAAATTAATAGTACATATATTAGAAGTGAAGACATTCTTTCTCGCAAAATACTTCTCTTCTAAGTTAAGACACAGAATGGCAAAGAAGATGCTGCAGTTCAGCTACTTTGAAGCACTGTCACTAGCAAACCTGTAACTGTTACGAAATCTCAGACAAAAATAACAGTAACACCCCCTGTGATGTACAATTTGCACTTTGCACCACAAAGACTTCAGAAAGTTTCTGGGGTTATCTCTTTGAAATTTAGACTTTAGACAGATCTAGATAAATAAATAGTTTAGCATACTCTGGGGTTATCTAACCCAAGTTTTTATGACAACCCTCTATCTTAATGCAGACAACAATAAAAAAGTTGCTTAGTAGTGCTCATCAGACAGACTAAAAATACACATTTATGTGAACTGTAGTGCTCTGTAGTTCAGACTGCTATCTATATATAGCACTTGTCTCTTACTGTCATGTGCATCTTTTTGAGACAGTACATGGTAAAACACTCTGTGATCCTGATGACTTTTGCCAGAACACACATATAAATTTCAGTGATGGTTAGTACAAAAAGTGAATAAAATAAGTCATACTAGAGAAATCAGTGTACAAATGCCTTGGAAGAAAAGCTGCTTGAACCTGCCTAAGGAAAGCAGCATAGAGCTTTTCCTCTGCTTCCTTGCTCAGCACTAAATTTGGCAAAGGGACACCTATCACCATCCCCAGCAACAATATCTCCTTCTCAGGTGAGGCATCTACAGTGCACTGGGAAGGAAAAAAAAATGAAACTCAAGCATCTCCCTTTTCCAAAAGGAAAATGTAAGCAGGGTTGAGAGAAGGGGAAAGGAGAGACAGCGAGAGATAGATCATGGCAAATACCAGATTGAATTCCCTCTGGCTCTGCTTCTTAATTAGGGGAAGACTAAGCGGAATATGAACAGATGGGAAATGAGCCGCTCCTCACTTTGCACAAAGCTATGAGCCACAGAGCCAGAAAAGGAAGGACATCCTTCAGATATAGGCAAAAAAATGTCAGACTCTTACCCTCCAAAAGGTACAGGTTTTATGATCTAACAACCCTTTTACCATCACTTGCTGCTACTATGCAGCACTTCTACACCATGCCAGGAACCAGTGGAGCACGTACCTAGCTGTACAATGTTGGAGTGTCAGTATTAAATGAATAAAAGTCACCTGCTTATACTATAGCACTAGTAAGCCCAAAACATAAAGAACAAAGGGTCACATTGCCGTGTCCCCTTCAGATTTTTTCGAGCCTGCTCCAACTCTTCCATGGTGTGCTTCTGTCCTCTAGCACAATTAAAACATCTGTCAGCCACACACACCCTGCTCTACTTAGCAGCTTCAGTTAGCAACTGACTGCGGGTCTCCTGCTCTGAGTGTGCATGTTCTGCCAATTCCCCACTCACTCCTCATTTGTGAAGTTTTAATCTTGTGCCTGCTGTTTTTTTTGGTCTCAGGAGAAAGAAAAGGTTTTGTACTTTTAAAGTGTGAATACTTTTATGAGGTCATTTAAAGACTACGCTACATTACTTGTAATTACTTTTACAGCTGAAGACACATTTAACATGCCAAGCTCAGAGATACCTCTAATAGATAAATTTCTCTTTCACTCACCTCACTCTCTCTCCCAAATAGTTTCCCTCTGAGAAATCATTGTCCAGACATCTACATAAATCAATATAAAGAATATCACCTATATTGCACTGAGTAGCAAGCAAACACAAACACTCCTCTGGTTTTCAATGCTGAGAAGCTACAAATCACAAAGAATTTGTCCCATACATCAGAATTAATTTTTCATAAAATAATGAAAACAAAGCTTTGATCAGAAATTATAAAATCTACAGCACTTACTAGTATTTCAAGGGAAGAGATATGTATGTTGTCTATCTGGACTTCTGTAAAGCCTTTGATGTGGCCCCCCACAACATCCTTCTCTCTAAATAGGTAAGACATGGATTTAATAGGTGGACTGCTCAGTGTTTGAAGAATTGGTTGGCTGGTCACATCCCAGAGAGTCAATTGCACAATATCCAGATGAAGATCAGTGACAAGTGGTGTCCCCCATGGGTCTGTAATGGGACCAGTGCTGTTTAATGCCCATGAATGGCATCATTGGATTGAGTGCAAGTTCAGCAAGTTTGCAGATAACACAAGGCTGAGTGGTGGCGTTGACATGCCAAAGGTACAGGATGCCATTCAGAAGGATTTGTAAAAGCTTAAGTGGGCCCCTGTGAACAAGGCCAAGTGCAAGGTCCTGCATCTGGGTCAGGGCAATGCTTGGTATCAGTACAGGCTGGGACATGCTGGAATTGAAAGCAGCCCTGCAGAGGAGGATTTGCTGGATGAAAAGCTGGACATGAGCCAACACTGTACGCTCATAGCCCAGAAGGCCAAACGTATCCTGTGCTGCATCAAGAGACATGGGGCCAGCAGGTCGAGGGAGGTGATTCTGCCCCTCTGCTCTGCTCTCAGGAGACCTCACCTTGAGTCTTGTGTCCAGCTATGGAACCCTTAGCACAAGGACATGAACCTGCTGGAGTGGGTCCAGAGGGGAGCCACAAAAATGATCAGCAGGATGGAACACCCCTCCTATGAAGAAAGGCTGAGAGAGTTGGGGTTGTTCAGTCTGGAGAAGAGAAGGCTCTGGGCAAACATTATTGCAGCCTTTCAGTACTTAAAAGGAGCCTACAGGAAAGATGGGGACAGTCATTTTAGCAGCGTCTGTTGTGACAGGACAAGAATTAATGGTTTTAAACTAACAGAAGGGAGATTTAGACTAGGTATAAAGACTTTTTTTACAATGAGGACAATGAAACACTGGAACAGGTTGCCCAGAGAGGTGGTGGATGTCCCATTCTTGGAAACATTCTAGGTCCACTTGGATGAGCCTGTGAGCAACTAGATCTAGTTGAAGGTGTCCCTGCTCACTGCAAGGGGGGTTGGACTACAAAACCTTCAAAAGGTCCCTTCCAACCCAAAA